ACACTCACAATAATGTTAATGTGGAACTACGACCTCTTAATATAAGTCCGTTTTTACCGCGAAGAATGGTATAACTATTTCTATAAGTAATAGAATGTATGGAGTAACGATCATGTTACCAATCTTGGTCGGAAATAAAAGACACTATAAATTAGTGAGGCAAAAAATAAACATGATTTAATTAGTCGAGTACATAGAGCAAAGATAAAAGAACTAAAAGTAGGCACGAGATCACATGAGTTTTTTTTTTTTTAAAAAGGGAAAAGACAAGGGGGAAAACTTACGTGCAAAATTTTATTTTTTTGGAAAATGCATGTTTTGTTCACCCACCACAACACTAGTGGGAGCATCAACAAAATGGGCATACTAGCCATGGTCTCTGTCATCTTCAAGGCTAACCAATACCCTCTTACTTCTAACCACAAGGGAAAACACTTCTTCACAAAATAATTTAGGAGAGTAAAGATGAAGCAAGTGACGGAAAGTAAAAGGCATAGAAGCCAGGTTTGATAAGTAACGGAGGCATGCAACAGCCCTCCAAACAATGGTGCCAATCTGTCCTAGACGCACATTGAAGTATCAGCAGAATTCAATCATCACTGGATCGATAATTGGTTTAAACCCTAAAGTAAATGGGTAAATTAAACAAAGGAGTAACCAGTCTGGTATGAAGTTATTCTTTGGTTAGAACCAGGAACTAAAACTGGGAAATCTGGTTTCCAGTTACATTCTCTTCGAACAAGGGAGATAAGACCAGTGGCGATTAAGGTGGGATAAAGGTCAGCAAGATTAAGGGAAGTTATGGAAGAAACCCAATTTCTCATGGATTGACGATCAGTTGAAAAAGAAATGAGGAACAATCTCTGCAACTGTTGGTTCACGCACTGGTTCACTCGAGTCTTTATTCCTAGAGGAGGATCTAGGGGTTAAAGAAGCCCTAGGTATAGAAGAGGAAGGTATGGAAATATTGACATGAGAAGACGAACCGCTGTTAGACAACGAGCTTAAACTACTGAGTTTGCCACCTCTCCTACTTCTAGTAGGTGCAGTAGAAGGAGCGAGCTCATCAACGATAACAACCTTGCGAGGGTCAGATGTAGAAGAAGACATGGTTGTATGAAGAACTAACAAGGAATAGATACAAAAGTAAGAAGGAAGAGAATACTGTAGAAGAGGGATTTGGAGAAGCCAAAGATAAATGAAGTATTTATAAAAGGAAGGAATCATCATTGAAAGTAGGTCATTATGAAGCGTCATAATGAAAACGTCACTTTGTGACTGATGCAGCCGCAGAAAAACCCTAAAAAGCGCTGAAAAATTGAAGAATCAATCGCCAAGAGCCACGTGGCATATGCATTAAATGGATGTGACATACGTCGCATTGATTCTGAAGAAAACACAATGATACTCGAAAATTGGAGGCAAAGAATTTCCGCCATAAATACTTACCACTTCACGAATATTCAATTGAAGAATATTCNATAATGGTGGAGTGACAACTGGCATATTTAATTAATGAAATATATAAAGCAAAGAAGATGCGGAGTAAACACCCACGAGATAGTAAAGAACAAATGACCGAGGCTAGATAGTTATTGAAGAGGTACGAGCGGAACGAATCAAGACTAAAAAGATGGAAGATTCATGAACCCACAATTAATAAGGAAAGGAATCAGAATCGTTACAAATCCCTTATAGTTACGGATATGTCAGTTATGAGTATCAATCATAACGGGCAATTAATGACATTAATGCTAATAATGAATTAGTCTTAAATAGGGAGAAACGTTATATTTGAAAAAGAAATATCTAAGAAAATTGTAGCTATTATGCATATTATGAATTTCCAAAAAGGCAAAGTTTCAGGACTATAGTATTTACATGATTACATAGTATAATAGTTTAAAAGACGACATTTATTTTTCTAGTTCTTGATTTCCTCGTCAAAGCGTCTTGCTATAAATTATTGCGAATTCAATAGTTAACTTCACAATCTGGTTTTCCTCGAGATTTTGTCATGTAAAGAACTTGTGAGGAACATAAAGAAAAAATATAAGTGCACCTGAGAAAAAGAAAGTTCGATATGGGTCAACTTTGGAAAACTCAAGGAATGTTCCCAGTTAAATGAAATGTTACGTTGACATAATGAATGTGGATAAAAAACTATAGGGATTATATCGGTTAAAAACTCTTTCCTATCTTATATGAAGCTTTGTAATGTCTTTGCAAAAGAAAAAAGAAAAACAAAGCTAATGACTCATAATAGTCGAACTCAAACTATAAAGAGAGTACAAAAGTTTGAACACTAACTTTATACCTAAACTAGTGTACTTGCTCGTGCCGCGCGATCAGGAAAAAATATCTTACAAATTAAATACTAAAATCAGAATTTTAATAGAAGAAAATAAAAAAATAAAAAAATTGATGTAGATAAGTAAAATAAAGGTATAGGCATTAATCCCACATTCAGTCAAAAATAATTGTTTCTAAAAAGAAATAAAATTCTACGATATAGCCACACAAAGTTGAACTAATATGCTAATAAGAACAAAAAATGTAGATTTAGTGAAAAGTAAGGGAGCAATATAGGGAAAGAAAAAGACAAAGGAAATAAGAACGTAACACGTGTTTGTTAGCCTCAAACTTCTCCGTATAAATAAAAAAACTTAAAATATAAAAAAAATTACAACCCCAAACAAAAAGTTTATGAAAACTAATGAAATTACATGATGATTAACAAATTAAAACAAAAAGGAAGCAATAAAGGCACGCCAAAGAAATATTGCTACTCCCACTAATGACTAAGAGCTTTGGCTTAGCTGATTTAGAGTAGCTGATAAGCATTGTGTGCTGAAAACCACTTTTAAGTGCTGAAACTGATTTAAAAAATAAACAGTTACGTGTTTGGATAAAAGTGCTGAAATTAATAATAAACAACTGAAATTGTTTGATTAAAAAGTGCTGATAAACTCTTTTTATGTTAAAATGACTTAAATGACCTTATAACAATTTACACTACTAAAAACATTATTTTCTTCAAAATTTTAGATTCTACATAGTTATCATGTTATTTTAATTATAAAAATGATTAGATAATATCTTTTTTATAAATATAATTTATGTTATGATAAGTATACAATCATAAATTAGGAGTGGAGTATAAATTAACAAAAGTTAAGAAGAAAACCTTAAATAATGCACACATTATTTGTAGAGAAGAAACAAGCACTTAATATTTATTGTTTGTAATAAATAAGATTTAAACATTCAACTATCATAAATATCTTGAGCAATCAGATCACGAATTGCCATCCAAATATTATTATCTCCTTGATTTTCTACATTTTCTTCATTATCTCTCATTCTCAGCTTCTTGGAATGCATTATTCACCTTACATTTCTTTCTAATATAATTGTGAATCGCCATTGTAGCCAATACGATATCTCTTTGAGTGTCAATATGATAAAAAGGCATATCTCGCAAAATATACCACCTTACTTTCCATACCCCAAATGTTCGCTCTACAATGTTTCTGCAAGAAGAATGCAAATAATTGAACATTTCTTTGTGTCCATTTGGTGTTCGCAATTGTCGTGTCGCACCTCGACGAAATTCTGCAAGGTGGTATCTCACATTATCCCCTTTATATGGAGCCATATATCCCTTTATGTGTGAATATCATGCATCAATAAGATAATATTTGTCCCCAGATGGATGTGAAAAATTCAGTTCGGGTCTACGAAGTGCCTCACCAAATATACGGTTATCATGAGTTGCTCCTTCCCACCCAACCCATGCAAATGTAAAACACATATTAAAGTCAACAACAACAAGAATATTTTGAGTAGGATAACCTTTACACCCAATATATGGTATCTCTTGACCTTGAGGCAATCTTGCTTTCACATGTGTGCTACCAAGTGTTCCAATACAATCCTAAAAATATATACATGCATAAACTAAATATAAGTTTACACTAGATAATATTTTGAGTTAAAATGTAAAAATATAATAATATAATTATTAAGTATGTCACTTACTTTAAAGAAAGGGAGATATTATTGATTACATGGCTTGTGATCTCCTGCACCATCATTATAACTTGGATGTGGTTTAATAATGTCTCTTGCAAGCTTACCAATGGCCTTTAGAACACTATGAAAATGCATATGAATTGTTTCTCTTGAATATTGAAAAATCTCTTGTACTAATCGATTTTCGGCACAATGTGCACAAATTATCAAGAACATCCCTAACTCCTCGTAGACAGACATCCCACACGTGGGTTTAAGACCATATTTATCAGTTAGATCATTTCTTAAATCAAGAAATACTGACTTCCTCAATCTAAAATTTTCATAACACCGAGTCTCTTTTCCATGTAATATCTCTTGGATAAATATATTCCCAGTGCGTTTAGATGTATGACATGGTTCTTTGCAAATGTATTTCTCATAATATATCAATATACTCTTACATGCTATTCGACATAGTGCCATTCATTCCTTATTTTCTTGAATTTCCTCTTCTTCATTTTCGTCATTTAACAAGTCATTGTTCCAGCATTCCATTAAACTGAAATGAAACAGACATACAAACTGTTACGAATTAAAAATGACAAATGCTAACTTCAAAGTTGATAGTATAGTCATCTATTAAAATAAAACACGTAATGTCTAAACAAGAAATAATTAAACCACTATTATATCTAAACAGGAAACAAAATATTAAGAAAATATAACCTTCTGCACATACTTTAAAGGGCAAGTTAAAATGTCTAATGCTAATGTAATATGAACTCAATTAGGGAGTGTATTTCCTCTTTTAGCGATAATGAATTATTTTTTGTCTTGTATTTTTTCACTTGATTGCTACTGCCACTACCATCTATTGACTTTCGCTTTCTAAGCGATGGCTCGGGAAACGTAATTGAATCCATATTCTCCAAGTCATGACTTTCATCGCTTCTTTCATATTTCCATTGTTCTATGTCATTATCCTAAACATCATTTGTTCCATTATCATCATGATCTAACTCAACTTCTGACTCTTGTTCTTGATTTGCTGCACGTGCTCTCTCTCCGGTAGCAATGATATCAGTAAATAAAGCATCGTAACGAAACCATATCAGCGAAAGGTCTTTGTTCCTAAATTTTTTATATTTAGAATTCTCCTGTAAAAAAGAATTTAAAATTACTCTAAGCAAACAAATGAAACTAACAGTTAATAAAGTTATGAAATAATTATAGAAAAGGGCAAGCAATGTACCTTAATTTTTTGCTCCCACCAATCATCATCTGCAATAATTATTTTTCTTGTGGTATCCCATCCTAAACCTGTCTCACCTCTCATCAACTGCTTAAAAAGAGTACACTCTGCTTTTATGTGATCCCAATGATTTTTCATTTGTTTTCTAGTATATTTTAGTCCCGTCTTATTATTGAACTCATTTACCATATTCTTCCATCCATCTTTAGACAAGTAAGTGTTTGGCCTAATTCCTTTTCTAACTTCTTGCTCACACAATTCAATGAATTTAATATGTGCATATTCGTCCCACTTAGCATTATGTCGTTCTCCCATAATTGAATGTTAGCAATCTGAAGAGATTACAAGATTTAGCTATAAATGTACACATATAATAATATTTATGGACAACTCAAAATAAACAAAGTTCAAAAGAACGCCTTCTAATTTTTGTATGTCACATAATTGTGAAGTAGAAATAATATTCAATTTTATAATGAGACCAACTATCTTAAACTTCTAGTGACTAACAAAACAAGAGAAAGCATGTTTTGTTATATTTGAGCTTCAGAGAGCTGTAGCTTCCAATTAATTTATGTTCCTACTCGGCTCCTTCTTTCTCCTCATGAGTTGTGACCGTGAATAGATTTCACAAACAGTGATCTTTATGTACAACTAGGTATCTTTCATATTACATCCAAAATATGTTTGCTGGTCTTCATCAATGCATGAAGGAGGGGATACGTGTTGCCTACCTCCTGTCACGACCCAAAATCCAACTAGTCGTGATGGAACCTAACCCAACATGTTAGGTAAGCCAACTATCCAATTTTAATAATAATCATTAAAGCAATTTAAGTGAATAAAGGTCTTAACCTTATACAATCCCCAAGAACTGGTAGTACAAATTATGAGCATCTAAAAATAGAGTATACAAAGTGAAAATGAAATAAATACATAGTCTATTTGAATAATACATAAACAGAACTTTATAAATCTAAGGTTACCCTGAACAAGAGGCAGCTACAACAGGAACGCAAGTACATCTTCAAGTCCCGCAACCATCGAGCACAGCAACAACAATAGCCAACATCTGCAAGCAATGTGCATAAGTGTAGTATCAGTATAACCGACCCCATGTACTAAGTAAGTAACAAACCTAGTCGTAGGTTAAAAGTAGTAATGAGCTTCCACCAAGGTTGGGTCCATAACCAATAGTCCACAACAGTCCATAACAATATAAAGCAAATAATACTAGAAGTAACTCAGAGATAAAATGCTCAGCCAAATTATAATTTCAAAAAAAAATAATAGTTCTTCCTTTCAAATATATCAGTGAAAACCCAAATCGTTTGTCGAAGTTGCAAAAAATATGAATAGTTTGAAAATAATAAATTTCTCCCAAAATCTTTTCAATAATAAATAAGATGTTTCATTTCCCTTCCGGATAACCTGTGTAAAACAAATGCATCACTATGCCCATCTGTCAAAATGTGTGAGAAATCATGAATGATGTGATGTTGTACAGCATGAGGAAAATACATCTCTATGCCTGTATGTCATGTGTGCATGCCAATGCAATGCAACTCAGTGATAAAATCATAAACAGCCCCTTGGGCAGAACATCACTCATATACAGCTCCTCGGAAAAACCTCACAGTCATTCATGCCTCTCGGGCATACCTCACAATCACTCATGCCACTCGGTCATACCTCACAATCACTCATGCCTCCCAGTCACTCAGCACTCGGCACTCACTGGGGGTATGTACAGACTCCGTAGGGGCTCCTTCTGCCCAAGCGCTATAATCTGCACGGACAACTCACGTGCTATAATAATAAAGTATATAAAGCAAGCTGCAGGCGGGCAGCTCCGATCCACATAATAATCCTCACAATCAGGCCCTCGGCCTCACTCAATCATCAATCTCTCCAGTCTCTCGGGCTCACGATGTCATGAAAATAGCCCAAAAATAATGATATGATGTATCAATAAATAACAACAGAGACTGAGATATGATATGCAATGAAATGAATATGTCTAAGTATGAATTTTCAATTTAAAACAAATAATTCACAGCAATATGACCTCTGTGAGTCCCAATAATACTGGCACATAGCCTCAACATGATTTTTAATATGCTTTTCAGCTCAATATCTTTAACTCATAAAACCGCATGAAAAATGCCAAGATCATTTAACTATAAAATTCCACATAAATAATTATGTCACAATTTTTATAGTGCACGCCCACATGCCCGTCACCTAGCATCTGCGTCATCTCCCAATAATTCACATAATACATATATTCGGGTTCATATCCTTAGCCCCAAGATTAGAAGAGTTACTTATCTCGAACAATTCAAATCCAATGTCGAGCAAGCTAAACAATGCTCGAGAAATTCCATTATGCGCGTATCAACTTCCGAATGACTCGAATCTAGTCACAATTAATTTGATTCAGTTTACATAATTTATAAGAATTAATTCCATATCAAAATACTAATATTTTCCACAAAATCTGAAATAACGCCCCAAAAATCACCCGTGGGGCCCACATCTCGAAATCCGAAGAAACTCACAAAATACGACAACCCATCCAATTACAAGTTCAACCATACTGATTTCACTCAATTCTGACTCCGAATCGGTATTCAAACTCGAAAAATTCGTTTTGTGACATTATAGAAATTTCCTTCTATTTCTCTTGAAGATTCAATATTCTTAAACCAAAAATGAAGATTAATTTATGAAATATAATCAAAAGGGAGTCAAGAACACTTAGCCCAAGTTGTGTGGGAAAGTTCCTCTCCAAAATCGCCCAATCCGAGCTCCAAAATCCGAAGAATGTGTGAAAATTACGAAATCCCGAATTTAAAGGGTTCTGCCAAGTCGATCCGCACCTACAGACAAGATTTGCGCACCTGCGCCTCTGCTTGTGTGAGCAAAATGTCGCATGTGCGGACTTCAATTGCCTACCCAGTTTGCGCATCTGCGAAAAAACCATTGCATTTGCGAGGCTGCATCTGCGGGAAAGATATCGCTGATGCGAAACTCCTCAGCTTCCAGCCATCTCGCTTCTGCGCGCAATATTCCGCATCTGCGCTCACGCAGGTGCGGAATTTCCCTCGCACCTGCGACCAATGCCTCACAGTCTCTGCCCGCATCTGCGCTTGCCAGGACGCTTCTGCGAGCTCGCACCTGTAATTGAATTTCCGTAGGTGCGATTGCATCAGATGGCAGAAACTTCAGCTTTTTCTCCTAAGTCCGAATTGATCCGTTAGCCATCCGAAACTCGCCCGAGCACCTCGGGACCCCGTCCGAACATACCAACAAGTACCATAACATAACACAGACCTACTTGAGACCTCAAATCACACCTAACAACATCGAAACGATGAATTACACCTCAATTCAAAATCAACGAACTTTGAACTTTTAAATTCTACATCTTGTGCCGAAACACATCAAATCAATCCGGAATGACTTGAAATTTTATACACAAGTAACATATCACATCATGGATCTATTTCAATTTTCAGAATCGGATTCTGACCACTATATCAAAAAGTCAACCTCCCGGTCAAACTTCCCAAAAATTCATCTTTCGGCATTTCAAGCCTAATTCCACTACGAACCTCCAAATAATTTTTCGGACATGCTCCTAAGTCCAAAATTACCATACGGAGAAATTAAAATTATCAGAATTTAAATCCGAGGTCATTTACACATAAGTTCACATCCGGTCACTATTTTAACTTAAGCTTTAAACCTTGAAACTAAGTGTTCCAATTCATTCCAAAACCTCATCGGACCCGAACCAATTACCCCGACAAGTCACACAATAACTGTAAGGTATAATTTGTGCAAAAAATGAGGAAATAAGGTTGTAATACTCAAAACGACCGGTCGGGTCGTTACACCTCTTTATAACATTAATCAAAATATACTCAACTCTAAACAAGAACTCATGAGAAAAACAAATATACAAGATAAGAAAACCAGTGCGTAAAAGAGAAAGGTTGGCCTGTTCTGTACCGTCACTTTGATTACATGCAGAAAAACACTGCCCGAGAAACATAAATTTGACAAACAAATACTCAGTAAAGTTTAAAAGAGATGGGATGAAAGGGACAAAAGTAGCTTATGAATTGGACCCCAAAATCAAAAACTGGTTTCATTCATCTTTCAATTCTTTTCATTTTAGTCACATCTTGTCTTGATAGAAGCACGTAGGAGGATTTTTGTAAACATATATTGATAGAGTGTTTAAAACATAAAACAGTTACCTGCAATTTGTTTGCTAGTTGCAGAGAAGAACGAAAGAAGCACGTAACAGAGGAAGCAATGGCATGCCTGGAGAGGCACCAACTTTTTAGGTTTTATGAAGAACTGGGATAGAGTAAAACTATACGAAGCGTTTTGTTAAAAAGAAGTATTTTTGGGATAGAATAGTAAATATTTTGGTCAAACTTAAAGTGCTTATGGCTTTTGGCTTATAATCACTTAACTTATAAGCACTTTTAATTTTACCAAACGCGTAAATAAGTCAAAAAGTGCTTATAAGCCAGTTTGACCAGCTTATAAGCTTAGCCAAACACCCTCTAAAGCAATGGTTTTAAAGCTTGTCAAATTTTCTTGCAAAGAGATTTCCATCACTGTTTTAAAAGACTTTTCAAGGACTCGCCTCGGGGCTCGCTCCGGGGTGGGGCACTATCAAAACGCCTTGAGAATCATGTGTGGGGCTTAGTTCTCTGAGGCTTACGCCTCCAAGCTCCCGACAGTGCGCCCTAAACACGCCTAACGCTCAACGCTCGACACTCGCCCAACAGTTCCTTTGTAAATAATGTATTGAATTTATTAATTTGCACTGTTAACTCTCAAAATTCTTTAACAAATGAATGATTAAAGATCTTTTTATCTATAGAAATACGAAAATTATGAATAACTCAAATAACGAAACATATTATTGCATATTTACTAATTGAGAATATCGTGAGGGTGAATATCATTTGAATATTTCTTCTAAAAATAAATAACCAAAATTTATATCTTTACTTAATAGATCTTCATGTCTTAGTTCTATGTCTCTCAAAACTATCATACATTTTTTTTATTTTACTATTTAAAAATAATTTTATATTTATTCATGAAGAATTAATATTTTAAATTATAATATTGAAAACTTTATTGTGTATTTACTTTTAAAGAGGTAATATATGCAGTTTGATAATATTTTTTTAAGAAATTATAATTTTTAATTGTTTGAAAGATAAGAGGTTGGAGTTAATTTATATTTTATAGTACCTTTAACAGTATTGTATTATTTATACTTG